CTGAAAATAGTCCCATAAGTAAAAAATTTTTCGCTAAAATGGTCCTCCGGTGCCGGATTCGCCACGCTGGCAGCCGTTGCTGACGTGGCGCTGATGCGGCTGACATGTTATCGCCACGTAGATGCCACATCGGATGACCATTTTAGCGAAAAAATTTTACTTGCAGGACTATTTTGAAACATAGTCCACTTAAATGTCCTAAAAATGAAAAAAGAGCTCATATACAGGACTAAAAGATATTCCACGTGTGTTGACGTAGTATCTACATGACAATGACATGTCAGCCGTGTCAGCGCCACATCAGCAACGGCGGGCCAGCATAGCGAGTCCGGCACTGGAGGACCATTTTAGCGAAAAATTTTTACTTACAGAACTATTTTCAAACAAGGTCCACTTAAAGTCCTAAAATGATAAAGTAGATTAGATACATGACTAAAAAAGCAGTTTAGCCATATATATATATAATATACTAGGTGTTACTATTTTTTACCTATGTTTTAATTACACAATATAATTTTTCTTGTTTACATGTAGGCTACAAATGTAGAAGAGGTAGCAACCAATGCTGAGCACTTATTCACAATTCAAGAACAATATGGAAAAACTTCAGTCCACGAATGTGCTCCGATAAGGATTATACTACACTTTGGTTCTAACAGTGCATTGAGTGGTTGGTTTTTCATTCACTTTTTGGATTTTGGATATTTAATGAATACATTTGAACTATCCGAGGGAGTGGAATATATTATATTTATTTAAATAATTAGATACTAATATAACACCATAATATTAAAATTTTATATTAGTTGATATATATTTATATTAAATTAATATTACTAATTATTGAATGTTAAATATATAGACTGTAATTGGATCTCATAAAAAGTTAGAAATGAACATGTATATATAAAAGTAATGGACAAGTTTCTATTTACTAAAATAACTAATATTCCGTTTGCACAATATCTAAATTTACTAAAATAACTAATATTCCGTTTGCACAATATCTAATAAATATACATAATTTGTTTTTCATAAGACTATCATATTAAAATATTATTTTAATTAAAACGTAAATCAAATTTACTATTTTTTTTACATCACATCCCACTTCTTACTTTTTGAGTGGAATCTAATAATATGGTTTGAATTTATGACCTCACAATCACGAATTCATCTTATATATTTCTGTAAATCACATTCTTCTCTAATTCTTTTTTTTTTTTTTTTATGACGACATTATTCTCTTATTTTCAACTATCTGTGACAGATAAAATCGAAAGGCGTCGGTATTTGAACTTATGAGCGAACTTAATAGCCTACAAACTAGGCTCGACAAGACAAGTCATATTAGATGTACCATGTTTAGCAGACAAGACCTCGAGGCGTCGCGGGTTTGAACCCATGACCTCAGGTCACAAGTTCATCCTTTATTATTATTATTTTATTCTATTATTATTATTATTATTATTATTATTATGGGTAAATATTTTTTTTAGTCCCGTAATTGGACTCCTTTATCATTTTAGTCCCGTAAGTGGAGCCTGTCGCAAACTAGTCCCATAAGTGAAAAAAATTCGCTGTTTTACTCCTCCGGTGCCGGAGACGCCCGCGTGGCTCGCCGGAGGCCACGTATCCGCCAAGTCAGCGACACTTGGCGGACACGTGGATTTTATTTTATTTTTTAATTTTTATTTTATTTTATTTTTTTAAAAATTTATTTTTAATTTTATTTGCTTTTTTTAATTTTTTTTATTTGGTTCAATTGAAAAAGAAATTAAAAAAAAAAAAAAATCCACGTGTCCGCTAGGTGTCGCTGACCTAGCGGGACACCTGGTGGACACGTGGCTTCCGGCGAGCCATGCGGGCCTCTCCGGCGCCGGAGGACTAAAACAACGAAAATTTTCCACTTACGGGACTAAAATGATAAAGGGGGTCAAGTTACGGGACTATAAAAACAGTTTACCCTATTATTATTATTATAATTTGTTCTGGGTAAATCTCCAAGTGAACCTAATAGCCTGCAAACTAGGCCCGACAAGGCAAGTCCCATTAAGCAAATCATGTGTGGTAAACAAAACTTGAAAGCGTCGGGTTTGAACTCATGATCTCACGATCACTAATCTGTCCTCATACCGCTAGGTCATCTCTTACGGAAGACTATTCTACTCTTATTATTTGTTTGATGAAGTAATGATCGATTCACCTAAAAGTTTAAGTTTTTAGGGATGTACGTCATTTATTTATTTATCTACAAATGAGAGTCCACCACCACCTCCCCTCACGTGCAAGGTGGGTAAACACCACCAAATAAAACTTGCACGCGGACGTCAACAAACGGGGGACGGTGGGACTCGAACTCGAGACTTAAGACGTTGATACCATGTTAAAACAATTTACGAAAACTCAAAAATTGCATTATTATTCGTAACGATTATAGAGACCTATAAGTAGGCATGACATACAGACTCCATAATCTCAAATCTAAATAATATAATTTATTTATAAAACCAAATATAAATCAAAATATACTAAATATAAAATTGAATATATAAAATATCTCAATATGTCCCTCAAATTCAAGTGGTATAACAGAAATGAACTTGAGTTTGCAATGAGAGATCGAAGATGACGCAACCACAATCGTTTATCATGTCAATCAAAAGCAAGTATCATCAACTGAATTAAAGTAAAAAAACAAACTCTCAAAAAAGTAAAAAATGGGACTTTCACTGAAGTCGAAAACAACGGGAGTATTCTCCACAAAGTCAGAAACATGGAACTCTAACCGGTGCCGGAAAATACGGAACTCTCACCGAAGGCAAAAAAAAAAAAAACAAAAAAAAACAATAGGACTCTCAACACAATCGGAATCAGTGCTTTGTATTAAACCATTACAAACAATCAAAAACTGAACTTGGATGTAAAATTGAAAAATAAATTTGACGGACGATTGATTGCAAATAGATTTCAAAATTAGAAGACCTCTGTTGACACCATAAAATAAAAATAAAAATAAAATAATCTCAAATTTGAGAGACTTCCATTGACGCCATAAAATTATAAATAAAAAGCTCAAAATTGGAAATCTCCGGGTACATTCAGGTTGAATATACCCGGAGTATACTTGGAGAAACGCGAGTTGGGATGTTATATCCTAACACAGACAGAAACCAAGACTCTAAATAGAAAGATTGACGACCAGACTGAATGTACCCGGAGAAACGCAGATTGGTATATTGTATTTACTAAAAAGAGAAAAATAGGCTCTGATATCATGTTAGGTGAAGTAAACGACCAACTCGCCTAAAAATTTATACTTTTAAGAATATGCGTCTTTTATTTATTTATCTACAAATGAGAGTCCACCAACATTATTAAATGCATATTCTATTAATCAAGGTGGACAAAGAGGATTTGTTATGTCAAGCCGATAATAAACTAAAGCTAAAAACTCTCAAAGCAAAATTTTGTATTAGTTCTCAATTTTTTATTTTTTTGCTTGTCCTAGTCACTATTTTATTTATTTATTTTTGCTTATTCTACTAGAGAAATGTTGACAATGTAGTATGAAAAAAAATCAATTTTAAAAAATAAAATTATTGTTACATGTTAAATATATATATATATATATTCAATAAAAAAATGTAGCTGTGGTTGTCCTCAAAATGTGATCTTGTATTTATCAAATTCAATATTATGTTAGAATTTTAGTTTTGAATTATACTGTATTTTTATTTCTTTGTAATGCTTAAAAATTTAATGTGTCACTGGTGTGTTTGTTTGGGGGATTGGACTTTTTTGTCTCTATTCATCCAATTTTTTCTCCAAAAAAACATCAAATCAAACACCTATTTTTCATTTTTTATATTATACTAAAAAACAATTTTACATTCAAAACATTATATCAACACATATTTATATCACATCATACAACTATTCAAATTCAAAATTTTTACTATTCAAATCCCAACTCAAAATCCAAACCCCCCAACAAACACCATCTTTATTTGAGTTCAACTTGCTATATTGTACAATTTTTTAATTGCAATAATACATAATTTATATATTGATTGTGTTGTGAATTAAATATTTCATCTTTTTAACATGTTTATTCTCCCCGAGGTTTTCTATTGCAACTATACACATAATACACATTCGATGTGAGAATAAATAAATATATATAAAGACAAAAAGATAATCCACATCAAACTACACAATTCTTTAATCGACTTTGGAGGAACTGTTTAATGACGGCTATTGTTTTATTTCAATCAATTTAATTTCTTTCTCATAAATAAAAAAATCTTATAAAAATTTCCGCTGAAACATCAAAAGCCCATTTTGCTTTATTTACACTACTGGATTTTGTATGTATATGCAGGGCGGATGTATGTGGGGCCAAGCCCATCCCAACCTACCTCTTTTTAATTTTTAATTTTTAATTTTTATTTTATAATATATAATATATAATATAAAAATAATAAGTAAATTAAAAATTATTAAAAATTGATAGAATATTTATGTGAAAATTTAAATTTTAAATAATAAAAAAATTTATATCATAATAATTATTTGATGTTATAAAAATAAATATGAACCAAAAAATAATAAATAATAATTTTAAAAAAAGAAAAATCTTCAAAAAATTCTCAACAAAATACACAGGAGATGATATTTTTAAGAGCTATTTTTTTTAATAAATGTTTTTACTATTTATCAATTTCATAAATACAAAATTCATTTGGTAATACGTAGTTGTCACTATAGATTGATATTTTGCAAAATTTTCGATAATTCCATTAATAAAATTATTGGATAACAAATAGATGATAATTGTTTTAAAATTTAAAAGATTAGTCCCCCTTTAGTCCCGGTCTGGTTATGCCTTTGTGAGTATATATATACATATATTTAAATTAGGGTTAAGGTAATGCTTTTATTAAGTTACTTTTATAAGAGTATTATTGCGTTGACGTAAATAAAGCCAAAAAAAAAAATGCATTCAAACGCGCCGACGCCCAATTAAATTTACTTAAAGCATGATATTCATGCAGCCTCCTATTTTTTCAACAATAACTTATTCCAACACAACGAAGCTACAAAGGCTGCCGGTTTCCATGGCAGAATTATAATCACACGGCGGCGGCGGCGGCGGCGGCGTCCAGAATATTGCCGATCGGTTTAGTGGCAGCGGCGGCAGGACACACGTAGGGATGTATCTTTTGGCTATAACCGTTATCCTTGTCTTCGTATCTACTCCACAGCATCACTCCTCCGTAGTTGGATGATTTCTTCACCTCCGGTAGGATATCGGATGTCAAATTTTCTGGCGGGATGTATCCTGAACCGGCGGCGCCTGAACTCGCCGGCAACCCCAATAAGAGAGTCGCATTCGCCGGAATCGACGAACTCCACTTGTTCCAAGCGGCCATGAGCGCTTCCTTTCCACCACTGTAATCGTAGCTCGGATTATTGTAGAACTGCACTCCGATGTAGCTGAAAGCCTCAGTTTTAATCGCCTTCCCCAGATAAGCGTCTGGATAAATTGGCTGCGGCGCCGCCGCCAAATAGACCTGTTGTAGTAGAAAAAGTGCAAATATGGTTACGATTAAATGCTTTGAAGATGCTTGAAGAACACAATTTTTTCGATCACGATTTGATTTCAATTACTATTATGCATGCAATTAAAAAATATTTGAGTTGGCTCGATTTAAGATCGGATCGTGCTTGGATCGAAGAGGTCATGCCCGATTTGAAATCGGGCCATGTCCATCTTATCCACTTCCAAACCGGGTCGGACCGGCCCGGTAAAAAAAACTGGACCGGCCCGAATTACCACCCTTACTTCTCTTTAGTTTCATGTTAATTTCTAACAAGACCTTCCTCGCCGGCGTGCTGTAGCTGGCGAGGGCGAGGGCGAGGTCTTCGTAGTAGGCGTCGCCGGATTCGATGTCAAAGTCAACGCCGTCGAGCACGGCGTCTCCCAGCGGGCGGTCCGGCGCGGAGCCGCCCAAGAAATTGTCGTATATGTACTGCGCCACTCGCCGCGCATCGTCGGCGTCGCTGAGGCCGTAGCTCCCTATGGCGCCGCCGATGGAGAGAAGAACTTTGACGCCTTGGCGCTGACAGTAATCGATCTGTGGGGAGAAGACGTTGCAGGGAGAGGGAAGGCAGTGGCCGGCGAGGTTGTAGGACGGGGTTTGGCCCATGCCGAAAACGTTGAGGAAAGCGATGTTGACGTGGCTGTAGAAGCCGGTGTCGCATGCTTCTGTGAGGTCTCCTTCGAAGCCATTCTGACCCCAGTAGACGGTGATGCCGCAGCCTTCCATGGCGGCGGGAAGCGAGAGGATTATGAGAAGGATGATCGGAAAGAATTTGATTGCAGAGGTCGCCATTGTTGGAATTTAGGGTTTTGGGTGATGCTAATCTGGTTTTGGAAGGGGGTTTGGATGTCGTTTTATAGTGGAAGTTGCCGAAGACAACGACGGGCGTCTATTTGTTTTCAAATTTCCACGTTTTAAATAAAATTTTACTATTATATTATTTTATTTAATAGTACTATTTAATATTAAAATATAATATTATTAAAATTAAAAATTTAAATATAAATAAACTAAAACATATATATTTCCTCAGTTTCATACAAATGGAACTTTTCTATTGACAGACAAGTCCACTCTCCCAACATCTCTTATGGATATTATTGATTTTTACATAAATGGTATTTTTTAAAAATATATATAATTTAAAAAGATTTTAAAGTCGAATTTAGGATGAGTATAATTAATAAATAATTAAAAATTTATTAGTAAAAATAAAAATCGTATAATATAAATAATTATAAATTAAAATTAAAATAAATAATTAGTTTAATTAAAATTAAAAAAATTAAAATATGAAATTTAAAATGAGATTAAGGTGTGTAATCATTTTTCAAAAAAAAAAAAAATAACATGAGATGTGAGACCGACAGAAACGACAATGTTGACATGATAGGTAAGACGGAAGGAGTATATAAGCATTTTGTAGAAAATAAAATTTATATAATAAAACAGATAAGTGAAATTTATTTATTTATTTATCTATCATTAACATAAATTAATTTTATATAAATATTGAAAATTTTAAATATAGATAAAAATATTTATTAATAAAAATATAAAAATAAAATTTTTTTGAGTAAGTCTTATGTAAACAACTAAGAACTTAATTAAATTAATTTATATTTTTTAAATATATTTAAAATTAATAAATTTATTAAAAGTAAAAATATATCTAACTATAAATTGATAAACTAAACTAAAATCCATGTCAACTATTAAGTGATAGAAAATATATATAACAACTTTATTATTTACAAAGTAACATATTAAATATATTTTATTAACGTATATATTTCTTACGGCATTCAATATATTTAAAAGTAATTTAATTAAATATACATTATATTATAATTTAATTTACAATCAACTAATTTTTTATTACTCAATAGTAAATTGAAATGACAATTATACTTCCAACTTGCAACCAAATGTCTCCATAGTAATTAGATACTCCAAATACAGTTATCGGACAAGATTTAAAGAATATTGATATTATATTGATAGTCGGTAAAAAATATGGATAAATTTTTTTTTGTTCTTGTGAGTGTATTAACGTAAAAACTAGTGGCAATTATATAATAAAAAATAAAAAAGTAAAAATAATTTATGATGATATGGTTATTTATGAAAATAAAACTATTATTTTAGGACGAACAAAAATGGTAAACAGGACTATTATATTGGAACGGAGAGAGTACAATACTTTCGTAAATATATAATTCATTTCATTCTAAAATATTGATAATTTCATTACGGATACAATATTTAAGGTTGTTACTCCCTAATTTTTAGGGCCGATAAAAAGCGGTGATCCATCCCGACACGGATCAGCCCATCCAGGCCACAAAGAAGTCCAGTCGGATCGGCCCAGTCTAAAAAGGTGTTTACGTGTCCAAGTGAAATTACGGAGGGATGGAAGAGAATGCAAAACCTTATCAAATGTTGCTTGGGAGTCGTGGGAAGTTGAAAAAAAGTAATGGAGAAGTGCAAAGTTAAGGAAATTGAGAAAAAGGTGGAATAAAAAAATATAAATAAATAAAAAAAATAAAAAAAAATAAAAAAAGAAAGAAAGAAAGATAGGAGATATCCAGTAGCAACAATACCAAATGCAAGTTTCAGATTTTACTTTTTCTTTTTATTCTTCTTTATTTTCCCTTTTAGATTCCTACTGCATTATAGTTCATGCATTTTTATCTCATTTATTCCCTCAACGAATCATTCATTTTTTGCGCAATTTTAATTGCTCATTTCCATTAAATTTTGTTTGCAATTAATTTCTAGTAACTAGCTTTCCATCTTTGCTCTTGCATTCGCGTGAAATTTTACAAATTAGTAGATGATCTTTCACGTCCAATTTCAGATTTTTGTATTTTTACCCCATCGGTTTGGCTTCATTCAATTTTGTAGCATTTGATCTGATCTCTATTATGTTAATTGCAATACTTTCGACTCTCAATTTATTGAAATTATTATTAATTGCGAGACTAGTCTAGATACTTACTTGAGTAGGCTGTAAAATTCAATTTACGTCGATTTCGACAGCCCAATTCATTTAGCTGTCATGGACGAATTTCAGCGATAACAAATTGTCACGCCTAGTGGGACTCCAACGAGTCTCGCATTTTTTATGCAACTGAGAAACCACAACTTACCATCACATGACAAAACTACGATGTCGAAGGAGAAAGGAACCGCTGGCGAAACTTCGGCGCCGCGTATCTCGGGAGAAATCACACATGATGAATCTTCTGCTGCTCCGGGAAGTGAGGAAAGAATTGTAACAATCCCGGCTAGCGTTTTACAGGATCAAATCCTGGAAGAGAACCAAACGACACTTCACAGGTTGGCGCTGAAGCTTTCCCAATATGTTACGGAGAATTCTCATGGATAAGGGACGAGGAAACACGCAAGACCAAGGTGCCGGTGGCTATCCCCGAAAATGTGGGAAATGACCATCCGGAGAAGGCAGGGCATGGGGGCACGGCCGGATAACCTCCGATATCACTCAAATACGGCAATGTGACGATACTAGCCAAAGAAAACGGAAACAAGGGACCCTCGGACAAGGCTGTGGCTGTAGCACCTGGGCGGTCCTCGCGGTAGGCCATCCTAGGACCGCCTCCACAATAGACACTTCCAGGAAGCATAAGAGGTATGCCACCAACATCTCAATGGTACACTAACCTTTATTTTGTGGAACACGTACTCATACATCGATTTCGGATCGCAATAATCAAGAAGTGACCGTCGACGCTTGGGGGGCATAGCCGAACTTGGCCCCGACACCTCCAGCCGTTCCTTCAACCTCTGGATTCAGTTGGAGGGGCAACCGCACCACCTCTAAGGACACCCTAACGGGGCAGTCTCGCCTCCTCTGGGAACCTGGGAATCAACTTCTTCGGCCGTCACAGTGCGTGGAGATCAAACGTACCGACTTCATTGGTGCCGCCTCCGCATGGAAGGTAAGAAGCATAGCACAAGATGAATTTTCCTGAGGCGTTTGGATAGCACTAGGATTACGGATCTTGAAATGAGAAGGTCTCGACACCATTTAGGAACTTTTCGACTCCGGCAGCACCACAGATGACTTGGAGGGTAGCTCCGACTCCTCTGGGAGTACCACCAGCTCCGCGGATGACTTGGGGGCAGCTCCGACTTCTCCGGAAGCACCACCAGCTCCACGGATGACTCGAGAGGTACCTCTGGCAACACATCCAGCGCTAACTGCGCAAGGGATGACCTAGAAGGTACATCCGGTGACACTTTCAGCTTCAGATATTACCCAGACAACAACTTTGGCACCTCCGGAAGCATATTGAAATCCAAAAATTATCGGGAAGGCAGCCTCAACGACGCCGCCACCTCCAAGGGCAACAAGGGATGTAGATCCGCCACATTCGCTGGAAGCATCATCAGCGCCGGAAATGGCCTAAAAAGACCCGCCAGCTCCGAGATGGTCAACTCTGTCAAATTTGGACAGAACGGCCCTAGAACCGGGCAGACCAGTACTAGCCCCCGTACGGCCCGAAGGACACGCAAAAATACCCTCACCGCCGCGGTCGATTATTGATCCGCCGGCGATCGAAGTGATAGTCCGAAGAATATACAATGATTCCGCTGGCTGCCCGCAAGGCCATACTATCAACGGCCATTCTCGGATCAAATCTTTGTCAACTATCCCCTCCCCCGAAATGCTCGAACTCCGGAATTCATGCTTTTTTTGGGGGAGGACTCACGCTCAACGATTGAGCATGCCGATCGGTTCACGACACAGTACAGAGGAAATTTCGGGGAAAACTCCAACTATTTCTGTTATCCCTCACGGGACTGGCCTTCACACGACATGCATTTCTCCCTCATAATTCATTTTATACATGGGAAGACCTAGAAAGGACATTCCACGAGCGGTTTTACAGCCCGCTTCCGAAAGTGACAATATCCGATTTTTAACTAACCAACGGCAAAAGTATGATGAGCCGGTAGAAAGTTTTTTGGAAATATTTTATATTGCAAAAGGTCAATGTTAGGTGCGGATACCCGAAAACTAAGTTGGATACCCGAAAACTAAGTCGGAGACATGGCAGTAAAAAATATGACGCGCCAACTTCGTGACAAATTGGCCCTGCGAGAGTATAACGATCTCCAACAGCTTTTCCCAAAGGCGGAACAGCTCTCCCGGAATGTTAGTGACAAAGATCATTCATCGCATGTGCAAAAAGACAATTTTAATGTCAAGGAAGGATCTGATCGGAACTCCGTGACCATCAAACCGTCTCATGCGTCGATCAATACCATCGGAGTACGCCTAATGAAATCTCGTGCACTAGTAATAAGAGAAAAAGATTACATATTTTAATCTCATTTTAAATTTTTTAAAATATATTTAAAATTTTAATTAGACTAATTAGTTATTTTAATTTTAAACTATAATTATTAATACGATAGGGTAATTATTTTTCCTAGTACATTATTAATTATTTACTAAGTATATTTGTCCTAAATTCTTTTGTCTATAATAACCCGTATACGATAGCCGGAACAAAGAGAGTAGTAATTCTTGATCTCCATGCTCGGACATGATTGCATAATTAGTCCGAACGGAGACAGCAGTATATTTTATTAGGAATTGTGATAGTTAAATAAAAAAGAAAAAATTAGATGTACATACAACAAAACATTGATAAGAATGAGTTGCTTCAATTGTGATTGCATATATGGATATTTTAAAAATGAAATTTTATTTATTTATTTATTTTTTATGTGAAATATAAAGAATTATATATATAATATAAAAATAATTAATATATGTAATAT